TCTTTGGCATCTGTTGTCTTTTCTAGGGGATCCAGTTCTTAATAGAGAATGACCTGCTGAAGAACACCTGTGAGGACATTGCCCAGTTCTTGTATAAGGGGGAGGGGCTCAACAAAACAGCCATCGGAGACTACCTGGGGGAGAGGTGAGGCCACAGGGACTCAGGCACAGGGGCGCAGGCCCGTCCAGAATTACTGAGAAACAGACTCCAGAACTCCCGCCACAAGTCCTTGAAGAGAGTTTGGCCCTGAGGCAGCAGCAGCCGCACTGGGAGGGCGCTGTTCTGGGGAAGGGTGGCCGGCGTGCTGGGGTGTGAGCAGAGGAAGGCGGCTCTGCCTTGTGTGTGCTCGGTCGCCTCCCCCGGCCCACAGAGCTACAGGACTCCGCGTGGGAAACCGCCTGGCTGGGGGTTGGGATGACCTTGGGTTCTCAGCGTCAGTGTCTCACGTCTGTGCCCCACCCCCTCCCTTTTGTTTGTCTTGCTAGAGATGAGTTCAATATCCAGGTTCTTCATGCGTTCGTGGAGTTGCATGAGTTCACGGATCTTAACCTTGTCCAGGCGCTGCGGTGAGTGTGTTCGAGGGGAGCCCCTTGGGCGGTGGGAGAGGCAGGTCTCTAATCATGTCTGTCCCATGTGGCACTGTAGTGACATACCGTTGGCGGTTCTTTTGAATATCTCGAAGTATTTTAAAAGAAAACAGTCTGCTGGCTTATGATCGAAATGATTGGATGGTTAAAGAGAATTACATTACAATATATCCTGAAAGCAAATTTTGCAAAACTCTTCCTCAGGTCTTTCATTTAATGTTTTGGAAATCGATGAATGAATACATTTTGAAATCTTTTCTAATTTTCAGTTTAGAAAACCCTTTGATTTCCTGCACTAGAATGGGAAGTAGCTTAAAACTTCATTGTAGATGAAGAAAAGTGAACTTTAATTTTTTTACTAAATCTGTTATCTTGTGCCTTTTGGGAAATTGTCGTTTGGTATTTCCACTGCTGTAGGTTTAAATAATAACACCATTTTTGTGTTTTCAGTTAGATAGATGGAGATAATCCTCAATTAAACCTGTTGGCCGTGGGCCTCTCTGACTTAAAGGGATAAATTGTGAATGTTTTGATAGAAAATCTCTTTTGCCACTTCATCTTGTTTTCTGGAAATTGGAATTCATTTAAAATGAGCATTATCTATATGTATTACAGTCTTGTGTATTAGTTTAAGGATGAGAACTATTCTTTTGAATAGGAAAATCTTAATTTTTCCTAAATACTTTGCCTTTGATTAAGAGAACAGTGATGTAGAATGGTGATTTTGCATCTGCTCTGAGTTCCTGTAGCAGAAGACTGAAGCCCTTCCTTTGCCCTTTGGTATAAAAATCACTTGAAGTTCACAGTTCCCAGAGGAATCAATGGTCTCCCCAAGTCCTGTAACGCAGCCCGTCTCCACCACACAGGCAGTTCCTCTGGAGCTTCCGGCTGCCAGGAGAGGCCCAGAAGATTGACCGGATGATGGAGGCATTTGCCCAGCGCTACTGTCAGTGCAATAACGGAGTGTTCCAGTCCACGGGTAGATGAGAGACTTCATCCTTGTTTGCGATGGGCGTTTTACGCTAGATTCTTTTCTTGGCACTAGATAATTTCTAAAACCAAAGGCCTGCGCCAGCCCTCACGGTCTGGTGGTTCAAGTTTGGCACTCTTACCGCTTTGGTGGCCCAGGTTTGGTTCCTGGGTGTAGAAGCACACCAGTTGCCATGCTGTGGCAGTGGCTCGTGTAGAGGAACTAGAAGGACTTGCGGCTGGGATATGCGACCACACACTGGGGCTTTGGAGAGGGTGAAAAGGGGAAGATCGGCGACAGATGTTAACTCAGGGCAAATCTGTCCCTGCAAAAAGTAAAATAAAATAAAAAATAAAACAAAAGGCATTAGGTTTATGCCTAAGAACATCAATTTAAATTTAATTTATGATAGTAAATGTTGGAAACATTCAAAAGTCCAACATTAAGGGAGTAGGAATATGTTGTGGTATCCCTGAAATATGAAACATACAACTGTTAAAAATCATGTTTTAAAAAGGAGTTTTTATTGGCATGGGAAAATGCTAATAAGATTACCAAAAAAGCAGGCTTCAAAACTATGCATCTGTTTTAATCCAAGTTTTGTTACAGTATGTATCTGTGAGGTACGTTTGCGATTTCCAGTCATGCATCACTTAACGACGGGGACACTTTCTGAGAAATGTGTCATTAGGCAATTTTGTCATCCTGTGACCATCGTAGGCTGCACTCACACAAGCCTAGACGATATAGCCCCCTGCACACCTACCTAGGCTCTGTGGTACTGGTCTTGTGGGACCACTGTCGTATATGCTGTCTGTTGTTGACCGAAACATCATTATGCAGCACGTGACTGTATTACACACAGGCACATTTATGTAATAAAGCAAAATAAGCTATTACTAGGTAGCAGGATTATAGATAACTTATACTTTCTTTTTTTAATACGCTGTGTTGTTTTTCAGGTTTTCCACAGTGTACACCTTGTCCTTTTACGGTCTGAAATAATGAACATCTTTAAGTCTTGAGTGCTTCATGCCCTTTTCTGTGCTCTGCTCTTTTCAGTTAGCAGCATATAGCTTCTCAGAGCATATCCGGGCGTGTAGATTGGGCCCATTCTGTTGAGGGCACCACTTTTCATTCTTGATTTCACGTGGCGTTTCTGCGTCTTTCACTAAGATGTTTCTGATCGTCTTTTGCTTTACTCTTCAGACACTTGCTATGTCCTCTCGTTCGCCATCATCATGTTGAACACCAGCCTGCACAACCCCAACGTCAAAGATAAGCCCACCGTGGAGCGGTTTGTTGCCATGAATCGAGGCATCAACGACGGGGGCGACCTGCCCGAGGAGCTGCTCCGGGTGAGCAGGGCCCTGGCTCGGGAGGCGGTGAGCAGGGGGCGGTGGCTCAGGAGGCCCTTGTTCGGGAGGCGGTGGCTCAGGAGGCCCTGGCTCGGGAGGCCCTGGCTCGGGAGGCGCTGGCTCAGGAGGCCCTGGCTCGGGAGGCGGTGGCTCAGGAGGCGGTGGCTCGGGAGGCGCTGAGCTCGGGAGGCCCTGGCTCAGGAGGCCCTGGCTCAGGAGGCGGCGGCTCAGGAGGCAGCGACCTGGGGCGGCGCAGCTTTAGGGGAGGAGAAAGGTGTACGCAAGTCACCCAGTGTCTTCTCTTAGCGTTCGTTAAATTATGTGAATTTCATCAAGAAATTGGTAGTGAGGCCCAGTGAAGGAATCAGGAGGGAAAAGCAATGTATAAAGCTGAAACTAAAGGCTTGAAGGAAAGTCAGGCTGGTTTCTTTTCTTTCTTAACTGTCAGTAAGCATCGTACTTATTTTGTCACTGTGAGCCACCTGAAGGCAGAAGGGGTCATGTCGCTCTGTTCTCAGTGCCTAGCAAGGTGTGTGGCATACTGTAGGCACACAGCGAATGCTTGAATGAAGAGAGAGGGGAGGGAGAAAAGATATTTCCAGAATCAGAGACATGCAGTGTCATCTTTTATCCCAGAATCTGTATGAGAGCATAAAAAATGAACCCTTTAAAATCCCGGAAGATGATGGGAATGACCTTACTCACACTTTCTTCAATCCAGACCGAGAAGGCTGGCTATTGAAACTCGGTAAGTAGTGCCCTCTGGGTTAGGGCTCCTAACACAGATACGTAGAAAGGATGTGTGCGCCCACACACACAGATGTACGCTGTGGGAAAGCGCGGGTTGGTTACGGGAGGAGCTGTGGTATGAATTCATGCTGTTACAAGATCCACCTCTAGAAAGGAAGTGAATGCAGTGTCAGTGCCCCCATGGGACACTAGAGACTATTGGGGACAGACTTCACTCCGCAGAAATATTGCCCAAGTGTATTTGCGCGCCACGTTTCCGCTGTGGAATGGATCGATCAGGTTTTGTTTCAAGGCAGTTCCCACAGGACCTGGTCCTTTCCCCTTCCCTGCCCCTCAGTCACTGGGAGGGTGACCAGCTGTGTCCATCTTTCTACTTCCCATCACACAGATTTGACCTGGTGCTCCTGCCTCCCCCACCCCAGCGCGTCATCACTTCCTTCTGCATCTGCTCCCCACAGGCAGTGTGCATGGCAAACCTAGAGCCCTTGGCTGCAGCGCGTCCACAGCACTCTTACTCATTCTCGGGCAGTGGTTTTTTTTCCCCCTCCTTTCCAATCTGAATCAGCCACATTAATGATTTTGTTCATTCAGAAAAATAAAAGATTATTCCTTTTCCCTCTGCCAAAAGTGAGCTTGTATTGCTGAGATTTGTGGTCATGCCTTGCCCTGAAACTGATAGAGTAACCAAAAGGAAAAGAATAGTGGGTTTTCATACATGTTCACGGCCACATGGGATTATTTCATTAATTGTTTCAGAGCACAGAGAGAGCCCCTGGACATAATGATGTCCATTTTATGGCCACTGAAAGAGTACTTTTCTCTGTTTTCTTCCGTGTTGGCCTTTTGATGTGTGAGTTCCCACATTACAGGTATTTGTTAGAATGGTCCTTCTCTACCATTTCAGCTGCTTGTCCCATGAGATTAGAAGTCCACTCTCTTGGCCGTTGACTGACACCTTGGGAAGCACTGAAATGGAAACTTTAATTTCTGACCAGTTCAGATAGCAGTAGGATTTATATTTCCTTTAAAAGCACGTCCCAAGTCCTCGTGTTTATACATAATGACTTAATTCATAAATTCTCCTTAAAGCACCACTTCACTGATTGGAGTTTTAAATATCTCTTGAATTAATCAACACTTGATATATCTTTAAGCCAGTAGAATCTTTGAAGTTAAGGCTCTAAAATTACTAACCCCAAAGGCAGCCATTCTGCTCTGTGTTTTTATTGCCAAGCAGATGGAGTTAAAAAGGAAACCTACTGGAAATTTAAAAGTGCATCCAAGTTTGGATTTACTGCCCCCTCCAGCAAAATTTGTTTAAATGCTAATGCTAAGTGTTAGCTTGACAGCCCAGATACTAAAATTAGAGTGGTACAAAGATGAGCTTGGTTCTTGCACCAGGATGACATGCAAATTCATGAGGCATGCCATATTTTTAAAAAGAAAAAATTTAACTAAATGTGGGACTCGCTTTTAGGTTATAGTAGGACTTTTTCTAAACCTCCCCTAAACCATCCTAAACCCTTCATCTCGTGTTTCATTGTAGTGCACTCAGACCCGCCCCTCTGTATCTGTGTGCTGCAGAAGGCGGGGTGCCACCCTCTGTAGCTGTGTGTACATGTCTGTGTATGCATACAGCTGTAAGGATGTGTATTCTTGTGTATACACATATGTACATATGTATTCATGGGTTTGTGTGTGTGCGTTCTTACACACACTTTAAAAAGTGGTAGCTGTCTGAAGAAAGACATTTAATTTTCCCCAAAGTAGTCTTCACTCTCTTTGATCTGGATTCTAGATATACTAACACATGTTAGCTTGGTGAGAACTGATCTGTGGCATCTTTGTGACCAGGTTCTCGGTCATGCCTCAGATCTTGCCTTTACCCAGAGGGAGGTGGCAGATGAGAGGAGCCCCTCCTCGCCTGCAGAGTGGGCGCTCGCCAGGGTAGTGTTTTTATGTCCCCTGCTCCCCCTAGGCAGACACGAATGACTAATACAGTGCACTTTAAAAATAAGGAGTCGGGTTTAATTTCTTTGTTTTAATTTTCTTTTCTCCCTCATTTGTATGTTTCCATGATTTTGGCTCTCCTTTTCCTTGCCCCAAACTCCAGGAGGTATGTAATCCCCTCGCCCTGCTCGCGCGCTCTGCCCAGGCCACTGTAACTGCTGCAGCGTTTTCTTCTTTTGTTATTTTTGGTTATTTTGTTTTTTAATTGCTGGTGGTAGTGTTAATGCTGCTTCTAACTTGTTGTACAGTCCCTAGGGAACTGGTCAGGATCAGGGGTTCGGAGCCATTTCCCTGTTTTGCCTTTTAGGAGTAGTACGTAGTGCATCAGACAGCTAGGTACCACATGTGGAATAACTTAAACTTGACTGAATGTGATAATGCAAGAAAACATACTAAGAGTGGGTTTATAAAAGCAGAGAAAGTATTCACTGAATTTTCTCTTGGAATTTTTGGCCAGGCCTAAGCTATATTTGTTGAATTAAAATCGACATCCCTGAATTAATTTCTAAAGTGGAGAAGAGGAGGAGGAGAAGGCAGTTTTGACTTCCCAAAGCCATGTGCTTCTGATGCGCCACAGTCAGAGCGCAAACTAGGACAAGAGTTCAATGGGACAACTTAGGACATTGCCTTTGCATGAAAAAGGGAGATGCTGTTTCCCAAACTCAAAATGATGTTAAGTAAAGTTTTTGAAAAGAAGACAAAACCCCCAAGCCCCTCCTTGAAGTCCTTTGATTTGATTTCCTGGGTGTTAGGGGAGGGCATTGCAACCTCAGCTCTGTTTTTTATGTTTTGTTTTATTTTTCTCCCTCCTCTTTTTCAATGAGTCGTCATTAAATAAACCCCCCAAATTGGCCTCTTAGTTATGTCGTTGGTATCTGCTCTCCATTTGCTGATTTGGGAGAAATAGGCTTTTCCTAGGTGAGGAGCTCCTCAGGTGTCTGCTTTAGCATTACTTGAGCGGAGCTACATGTAAAAAGAACGACCCACACGTTGGCGTTTATGAAAACGTTTTGGGGACTTGTCAGGTGATTCCCTACTCTAGGGGAAGCCTGGCCTTCACATCCAAGGGGTCAGGACTCGTGAGTGTGGGAGGTGGTCCTGTGAGTTCCACAGGGACTGTCCTAGGTGCGCACATTGACCTGTCTGCTTGTGTCATGTCTGCTTTTCTTTCAACATGGCAGTGTTGCCCCGGGACCACAGTGACGCTTCGTGGTCGAGGTCTCTGTAATGCGGCTGATTGTCAGGGGACATAACCAAGCTTTTCTAATCCGGGAGAAGATGTCTCCAGCTTTGCTTTCTTGCCTAGATTTCCTTCCATCTTCCTTTTGGCATCTGACCCCTCTTCTGTGACCCTGAACCCCGAGTGCCTCTGGGTGGCCCTGTGAGGGAGCGCATGGTAGTCATCGTGGGTTGAGGTGTCTTGTGTGCTGAGTCCCGTGTGGGGATGGAGGCCCAGGAGGTGGGAAAGCCGATTTCTCAGCCCCTGAAATGGGGAGCGGTTCCTTTTTACAACAGATTGGCTCCAATTCTAAATATATTCCTTGTCGTCTTTCTCCTCCTTATTTATTTTGATCCTGCCCAGGCTTTCCTGTTTTCCACATGCATGCCTTATTTTCATCCATGTTTTTTCTTAAGTCATGCCTTAGGGCCTTTAGGGGCCAGAGGCACACGCGCATATAAACTGGCAAACCGCCGTAGGGGGGGTCAGCCTTTGCTTGGCTAGTGTAGGGCAGGCGGGCGGGCAGCACGCGCTTGCTCACGGCACACCTCGTTCCGTAACCCAAGGCTGTGCCGCTTAGGACCTTTGCGATGAACGATCCATCACTTTACCCCTCCGAGGTTTCAGGCACCCAAGCAGAGCCATGAAAGGGGCCAGCAGGTCCAAGAGTTTTTTACCAGCTGCCAGGACCTATGCTGACCCTTTATTGCCATAACGTTATTGGCATTACTCCAGCAATCAGCTTCTTTTAGGAAGGCTGGTGTGGGCACGCAGGCATGTCCTGGCAGCTGGAAATACTCCCTGTAAAGCTGTCCGACTCTTTGCTTAGCTGTCTGAGATGAGGGGCAAGGGATAAAGCATGACTAGGGTCACACTGGACTTACACCCCATGGTCCTGTTTATGAAGACGGGAGAAGTGATGTTTTCTGTGGGTTAAATCTTAGCAGAAAGAGCATGTACTGTCCTGGACGGTAGGAAGTATTTGTAAAATGCCGTGCGTATCTTAACACGTGAACGCCTTTGGATAACTTTTGTATGGTTTGTGTTCAGAAAGCTTTCCCTTGACCCAAAGTGAGTAGAGGAAGAGAAAGGTGTGGTTCATGGTCATGACTGAGAGCAGGATGTGGCTTCATTCAAACAGGTCACAGGCGAGTTTTCCCCTTCCTTAGTGTCCATCTCAGCATAACTTCATGACCCAGCGTTTTTGAATTGAGCAGGACTGAGAGAGCCCTACCGGCTCACAGCCCCCATTAGTGCCCGTTTGGCCGTGGCCCCTCGCCCAGCTATTTTTTTTACCAGCTTCTGGAGAGAAGTCCAGAACTGGAAGGCTCCTGAGCGGGCCCTCTGCTTGCCAGTGGGTTCTTCCCTGATACAGGGATTCCACTTCATCTCACCCAGGACGCTGGGGAAATTTTATTTTTAGGACACTGGCCCAGAAGCCTAAAAGCCAGTGTAGAAATTCACTGCAATCAGGAAGGTGGGGTAGAGGGGGCAACCAGGGAATTTGAGCTCCTTGTTCTAGGAAACTGTGGATTCAATTGTGAAGAGAGTCAAATGCCTTGCTTCCTGTTTCCTCCCTCCTGCCCCTCCTGAGGAAACAGCTCCATGCGTGCCCCAGAGGCTGGTTGACCTGGCAGTGTAGCTTGGACCAGGGGGCTGACCCTCTCCCCTCTTCTTGTTTGTTTTCCCATTTCCACCACGCTTCTCTGGCTCCCATCAGATTTGCATTGAGAGTCATCATTGCCCGGGTTCCGCCCAAACCCATGCTCTCATTCTGCTGTCCTGGTTTCATCTCCAGGCTGCCACCTGACTTGCTTGCTCTGCTTGTACCCACAGACTTTCACTCCGTGAAAGGTGCTTCTGTTTTGGCTCTGTGTCTTGTTACTGATGTAAATTTTGCCATGGTCTCAATGTTCCCCTGGTTCCCTGCCCCTTGCTTCCTCCCTCCCCCTCTCTGAGAGCAGAGCTCCATGTGTTACGGAGCCCGCGCCAGCCTGACCGACTCCTGTCGAACATGCATCTCTTTTTGCTCTGCAGGTGGCAGGGTAAAGACTTGGAAAAGACGCTGGTTCATTCTGACTGACAACTGCCTTTACTACTTTGAATATACAACGGTGAGCGCCTGCTGGTTGGCCAGGACAAGGGTGGCCAGGCCTCGAAACAACTCTAATCAAACGTGGTAGGAGGAGGCGGTGGGGAGACAGTCGCATTTATTCTTCGACGTCTTTAGGCATGAGAGGAGAGTTTACGTGAAGTTGGAGAACTGAGACACATCTCAAAATTGGGGTCCTTGAGGGTGATGTGGAGTGTCTTGCCAGAGGAACTGGGGCTCTGAGCCAACATCCAGTTCTATATTGGGACCAGAGATGCCTGGCCAGGAGAAAGCAGTAGAGAGAACATTATGCATGGCATTAGAAATGGTTTTAGAGCCAGGCCGGAAAGAGTGGACTTGGATCAGTTGCCAAGAAAGAGTTTGTGGCCCTATTGGAAGGGAGATGAAGATAATCGTATTTCGGAGGGTTCACATTTTCTAGGGTGGCAGAAATGCTGAAGCATGTGATTCAGAAGAAACAGCCAAGGGGTAAAATATATGATAGAGGAAAAAGAAGTGAAATGAAATGGGAAGAGTTAGAGATTATCTGGAGTTTTAAGAAATTGAAGTTTTCTTAAACTGTGGAAGTTTTGTTGGTTTTTATCCAGTGGGAATGGAATTAGAACTGCAAATATGTGTTAAATCTAAGGTTCTTTTGTAATAAAAGCCTGTGAGAATAAAAATCGTAAAATAAAACCTTTTCTGAAGCCCCCACTAATAGAGCACCCAGACAGCCTCGAGCTGGTGGCTGGCATGTAGACGGGCTCGCCACCTGCGACTCGGTGCTCTCATTTCTGCCATTCTTCTTCGTCACCTGAGAGCACAGCGGGTGTACAGCTGGCGGCGCTGGACTTGTGTCTTGAAAGAAATCAAGGTCACTGAGTTGGGATGCTTTACTTTTGTCCTCCAGCCACGTCTTCACTGAGTGAAAGTCACTGATCTTATGAAAAAATGAGGATTTAGAAGTGTCTTTTGTAATTAATGTAGATGAAGATGGTACTTGAATCAAAAGGAAAGCCCTGGCCATGTTTGTGTAAGACTTCGTAGGAAGCAGGGGACAGGTCCGCGCCTCAGCACTGTGCCGCCTCAGAGTGAAGTGGGTTTCTGTTGTCACCT